CCCATCAAAATACCACCAGGGTTTCTCACAGAGCTAGAACAAACAATCCTAAAATTTGTGTAGAACCACAAAAGACCCCAAGGAGCCAAAGCAATCCTAAAAAAGAAAAACAAAAGCATCACAATCGCAGACTTCAAGCTATATTATAAAGCTGTAATCATCAATATAGTATGATACTGGCACAAAAACAGACACTAAGATCAATGAAACAGAATAGAAAACCCAGAAATGGACCTGCAACTATATGGTCAACTAATCTTCAAAAAAGCAGGAAAGCACATCCAATAGAAAAAAAGACAGTCTCTTCAACAAATGGTGTTGGGAAAACTGGAGACCAACATGCAAAAGAATGAAACTGGACCACTTTCTTACACCATACACAAAAATAAATTCAAAATGGATGAAAGACCTAAATGTGAGACAGGAAACCATCAAAATCCTAGAGGAGAACACAGGCAGCAACCTCTCTGACCTTGGCCATAGCAACTTCTTATGAGACATGCCGCTGGAGGCAAGGGAAACAAAAGAAAAAATGGAAGTATTGGGACCTCATCAAGGTAACAAGTTTCTGCACAGCAAAGGAAACAATCAACAAAACGAAAAGGCAGCCTACAGAGTGGGAGATGATATTTGCAAATGACATATCTGATAAGGGTTAGTATCCAAAATCTATACAGAACTTATCAAACTCAACACCCAAAGAGCAAATAATCCAGTTAAGAAATGGGCAAAAGATATGAATAGACATTTATTCAAAGAAGACATCCAATTGGCTAACAGACACAGGAAAAAATGCTCAACATTACTCATCATCGGGAAAATGCAAGTCAAAACCATGATGAGATACCACCTCATATTTGTCAGAATGGCTAAAATTAACAACACAAGAACAAAATGGTGTTGGTGAGGATGTGGAGAAAGGGGAGTACTCTTGCACTGTTGGTGGGAATGCAAATTGGTGCAGCTACTCTGGAGAACAGTATGGAGGTTCCTTAAAAACTAAAGAGAACCATACAAGAGACCCAGCAATTGCTCTACTGGGTTTTTACCCAAAGGATACAAAAATACAGAATTGAAGGGGTGCATGCACCCCAATGTTTATAAGCAGCATTATCAACAATAGCCATACTACGAAGCCCAAATGTCCATCAACTGATGAATGGATAAAAAAGATGTGGTATACATATACAATGGAATATTAGCCATCAAAAAGAATGAAATCTTGCTATTTGCAACAACATGGATGGAGCTAGAGTGTATTATGCCTTGCAAAATAAGTGAGAGAAAGAGAAATACCATACGATTTCATTCATATGTGGAATTTAAGAAAGAAAATAGATAAACATATGAGACGGGGGGAAGAAAGAGAGGGAAACAAACTGTAAGAGACTTTTAAAGATAGAGAACTGAGGGTTGTTGGAGGGAGATGGGTGGGGAGTACGTTATACAGGTGATAGGTAGTAAGGAGGGCACTAGTTATGATGAGCACTGGTTGTTGTACGTAAGTGATTAATCACTGAATTCTACTCCTGAAACCAATACTGCACTGTCAACTAACTAGAATTTAAATAAAAATTTTAAAAGGAAAAAATAATGAAATAATAGCTGGAATTTCCCCAAATTTGGCAAAAGATGTAAGCCTAAAATTTCCATAAACTGAGTGAATCCATAGGATAAACCCAAAGAAATACACACCGAGTCAAACTTCTGAAAACCAGAGACAACGAAAAAAAAAAAGTTGAAAGCTACAAGTAATAAATGCCACCCAGCCTATTGGGAAAGACAGTTGATTTCTTACCAAAAAACCATACAGGTCAAAAGGAAGTGGCACAACTTCTTTCAAATGCTCAACCCCCAATTCTAAATCAAGTGAAGTTAGCCTTCAGGAATAGAGGAGAAATAGACATGCTCAGACAAAGAGAAACTAAGAGAATTTGTTGTTATCAGATCTACCCTAAAAGAATTACTAAAGGAATTTCTTGAAACAGAAATATTTTTTTAAATCTTGGAACATCAAAAAGGAAAAAGAACACTAAAAAGAGCAAACCTATAGATAAATACACTTTTCTTCTCCTTTTGAGTTTTCTAAATTATGTTTGACAATGAATCAAAAAGTATAATATCATCCTGTGGTGTGTATACATATACAATGGAATACTATTCCACATCAAAAAGAATGAAATCTCGCCATTTGCAACAATGTGGATGGAGCTAGAGTTTTCGCTTATGCTAAGCAAAATAAGTCAGGCAGAGAAAGACAAATATCACATGATTTCACTTATATGGAATTTAAGAAACACAGAGGAACATAGAGTAAGGGAAGGAAAAATAAGATAAAAACAGGGAGGGAGGCAAACCATAGGAGGCTCTTAAATACAGAGAACGGACTGGGGATTGTCAGAGGGGAGGTGGATGGGGGGATGGGCTAAATGGGTGATGGGCATTAAGGAGAGCCCTTGTTGGGATGAACACTGGGTGTAATACATAAGTGATGAATCACTGGGTTCTACTCCTGAAACCAATACTACACTGTATGTTAACTAACTTGAGTTTTAAAAAATAAATTTTAAAAAAAAAGTATAACATCATCTGATGTGGTTCTCAGCCTATGTAGAGGAAATATTTAAGACAATTGTAAATGAGATAGGGTAAACAGATTTGATGAAAGGTAAGGTTTCTACATTTCACTCAAACTGGAAATATGTTGACACCAGTAGGCTGTGATAAGCTAGGTATGCATAATGTAATTCCTGTAGTAACCACTAAAAACCTATATAAAGAGATGCATTCAAAAATGCTGTAGATAATCAAAATAGAGTTCTAGAAAGCTTTCAAATAACCCACCAGAAGGCAAGAAAACAAAGAAACAGAAAGCAAATATTAAAATGGCAGACCTAATCTCTAAAATATCAATAATTACACTAAATGTAAATGGTCTAAATAAACCAATTAGAAGAGCTAGTGAATTAAAAAAAAAAAACTGCACTAAATGCAAGGGCATTATGCTGAAGCAGGGGAGCGTATCTCAAAATGTCATACAGTGGATGTTTCCATTTATATAACTGTTCGTTTCCCAGGGCTGCCATAATAAATTACCACAAACTGGGTGGTTTAGCACAACAGAAATTCATTGTCTCACAGTTCTGGAGGCTACAAGTGCAAAATCATGGTGTCAACAAGGCCATGCTCCCTCTAAAGATGCTAAGGAAAGATTCTTCCCGGCCTCCTCCAGTTTCTGGTAGCCTGACACACTTCCTGGCTTGTGACAGCATAACTCTACTCTTCACATAGCATTCTCCCTATATCTCTTCATATAGTCTTACCTCTATGTCTCTACATCCAAATTTTATAAGGACAGCAGTCATATTGGATTAGAGCCCATCCTCATGACCTCATTTTAACTTGATTACCTCTGTAAAGGCCCAATTTCCAAATAAAGTCACATTCTGAGTTGCTAGCAGTTAGGTGTTCAACATATCTTTTTGAAGGAACACAATTCAACCCACAAAAATAACATTCTCAAATTGACAAAATTATAGAGATGGAAAACACGTTAGTGGTTAGGGCTGGTGGGAGGTTAAGAAGTGGTTGTGACCATAAAGCGATAGCATGAGAGATCTTTGTGGTGATGTAGTAATTCTGTATCTTGAGTGCAATGACAGTTACATAAATCTACACAAAAGATAAAATGGCATAGAACTACACACACATTTATCAATATCTTGATTTTGATATTACACTATAGTTATATAAGATATAACCACTGGAAAAAAAACAGGGTACCTGGGTGATAGTTGGTTAGCATCTAACTTCACCTCAGGTCATGATCTCACAATTTGTGGGTTCAAGCCCCACATCAGGCTCTGTGCTGACAGCTCAGAGCCTGGAGCCTGCTTCAGATTCTGTGTCTCCCTCTCTCTCTGCCCTTCCCCCACTCGTTCTCTCCCTCCCTCTCTCTCTCTCAAAAATAAATAATAAACATGAAAAAAACTGGGCAAAGACTACATAGGATCTCTCTGTACTACGATTGTAACTTCATCTGAACTTTTATTTCAAAATAAAAGTATAATACACAGATGTGGATATGCCCAAGCTAAGATACATAATTAATCAGTTTCAGAAGACAAGAAGAAGATTCTAAGTTAAAAACAACAACAACAACAACACACATTCAGGGGCGCCTGGGTGGCTCAGCCGGTTGAGTGTCTGACTTTGGCTCAGGTCATGATCTCACAGTCTGTGAGTTCAAGCCCCACATCGGGCTCTGTGCTGACAGCTCAGAGCCTGGAGTCTGCTTCAGATTCTGTATCTTCCTCTCTCTCTGCCCCTCCCTGGCTCATGCTCTGTCTCTTTCTCTCTGTCAAAACTAAATAAATATTTAAAAAAACACATTCAAAGCACATACAAAGGTCCAAATGGAACATAAAAGATGGCAGAACAATGCCTTCAAAACTCTGAAGAAAATTAGAATTCTATGCCTAGCTAAACTATAAATCAAGTGTAAGGGTAGAATAAAGATATTTTCAGAACATGAGACCTCAAAACAATCACCTCTCATTAACCTGTTCTCAAGAATCTACAGGAAGATGTCTTCCAGCAAAACCAGAAAGCAAACAAATCAAGAGGAAGACAGAATCCAGGAAACAAGGATCCCACCAAGAAAGGAAAAAGGGAACTCCCAGGATAAACATCAGTGCTAAACCTGGTTGGTTCAAAATGAGTGAGCATCTAGGTGAGTGCTGTTACTGTATTCACGAAGCCTGGCGGGTGGGATCTGAAGGGAGGATCACTACCTGCACTTGAAGGACACCTGTGGTGCAGCGGGGAGACATCAACAGTTGGTAGCTCTTAATCCCAGGAACCTAATCTCTCTCATATCTTGCTATGAGATCCTAAATGATTATACAACTCACATAAGGTCATGGTGGGGAAGTAGAGATGACACGGACAACTGGATGGGAAAAAGAGCTCTCAAGTCCGTTTTTCTGGCTCACTCTTACCTCTAGTTCATGGATTGGCACAGGTTGTGATGGAAGGCAGGAAACACACTTGATCTTTATGGTCAAAGGGTTTAAATCCTGCTTTTGCTCCTCAGTCATGATAGGAACTTCTGTTTTAAAACTCAAATAACAATCTAAAATGCTGGCAGACTTCCAACAGCCACAACTCATGACAGTTTGCCATCCTAGGAGGGACATACACAGAGCATTAGACTGTTACTCTTGAAAGCCCCACCACAAATACAGAGGGATCAGGCAACCTGACAAAAGCCAATGATAAATCGCAACTAAAAGAAGAAAACTTAAAAGAAAAAAAAGCGAATTGGCAAACACCTATGGGCAGCATAGTATATGTCAGTTTCTCAAACTGAGGTCCCATAGGTCTCCTAAGAGAATTTACTTGTTGTGATTTAATCTTGATCATCACCTTGTAATATCAGCATTTCCTGAATCATCTACAGGAATACCAATGTTTGGGTACCTTCAAGCAGTCTCATGTACTTGGTCTGGGATGTAGCCTCCATACTAGGGTTTTTAAAAACTTCTCAGGCTGGGGCGCCTGAGTAGCTCAGTCAGTTGAGCGACCGACTTCGGCTCAGGTCATGATCTTGCCGTTTGCGGGTTCGAGCCTCGCATCAGGCTCTGTGCTGACTGCTTGGAGCCTGGAGCCTGCATCGGGTTCTGTGTCTCCCTCTCTCTCTGCCCCTCCCCCACTCACTGTCTCTCAAAAATGAGTAAGTGTTAAAATAAATAAATAACTTCTCAGGCCATTTGTGGCTGCTGAAATTTAAACTTAAATATAATTTAAAACGCAGTTCCTTCATCACACAAGTCACATTGCAAATGTTCAAGTGGCCACGTGTAGCTAGGAGCCACTGGCCTGGACACCACGGATACAGAACATTTCCATCACCGCAGAAAGCTCCACTAGAGAGTGCTGCTCCAGGCAATTATTTTAGAACACAACACATAATGTCAGTGTCTCTGTTACGGGGCCCAGTGGTGCCACTTTCACTGTCGCAGTCCAGTGAGAAGAGCCTAGATGCTGACGTAGAATATAACTGGTACCTGATCAAGCATGGCGCCCCTTCCCCAATGGCTGCACGATGGCGCAACTAGGGAAAAGGGTGGGTGAACTGAGCCACCGCGTGGCACACGGGTAGCAGTGAGAATATGTTCTTGCAAAAGGCGTCCCTACATTTTACCAGGTGGAGACATACCAGGGTGGGGGGCGAGGGGAGGGGAAGAGGGAAATCCTCCAATTTAACAAGCAGAGAGGCCTAGGCTTAAATCCCGGATTCGATTCTCAGCAGTCATGAGAGGTACAAGCATAGGTTCTTTGAGGCTTCATGTCCTCATGGGCAAAACAGGCACAGATCCCAGCTTTCTTGGTCAGGAGGGTCAAGAGGGCTCATATATGTGAAGGTGCTGGGGATACCACCCAGCATACAGTGGGTGCTCAAAAAAATCAGTTCTATTCCTTTCACAATACTTGTAAATGCGTTTCCAGGGCACACAAAAACCTGGTCAGTCACACTCAGAAAGAGG